AGTGAAATAAACTGTGCTCATTTTATTTAAATATGGAGTTATTTAAATAAGAGATTAACTCTGATGCAAACCAGCAGTTTGGAAGTGCTATGTGTTTTCCATTCACACAGATCAGAGCAGATGAGTTCAAGACATTTATTAATTATTAGCCTAATCAATGTTATATATGTTTGTAGGATTCTGCTATGGTTGCAGAGAAAATGACCATAAACTTCATAAACTATCCTCACCAGAAAAAAACCATGGTGGCCCAGCCTTTCTAGTGGCTATATAGCATGGGCTATATTCAAAGTATTCCAAGGTCAGGTTGGATGGGGCTTTCAGCAACATGAACTAGTGCAAGATGTCCCTGCCCATGACAGAGGGGTTGGACTGTATGATCTTCAAAGGTCCCCTCCAAACCATTCTGTGATTGTATGGTATCTCACTCTGGACAAGCGAGAGCAACAGTTCCCAATTCTATCTCTACGTATCTCTCCAGATATGCAGAAATGCATCAGACAACATATTTGCATCCCATCAGGTACGGGATATACAGTAGTGGCAGCTTCTCAGAGCAGCACAAACTAGTGCATTGGAGGAATAGTTTCTTTGAAATTCTTTCCTAACGCTGGTTGGATTATTCCTGCAGTAGTACCCTGATGCATTATACAGCACTGTCTGTCTGTGCTTTATTCAGGTACTGATCATGCTGTTCTTTCACTTCTAATCAAGGAAAGATGAGGAAGCAGAATCAAACACTATAAAGAAACACATAGCAGGACAGGAACAAGGGCATAAACTGATACCAATATCTTTAGACCAGGTATATAACTTTGAAAATGTAGGAAAAGATGATGTAGACAAACCTATAGACAGAACAAAGATAAAGAAAAAGCTCCCTATTTTTGCTTAAAACAAATGTGTGTTACAAATCCAAATATAAAAATAACAGATGCCAAAATCCTTACTCTCCAGCATTTGCCACTCTAAATCAAATGCTTGTATGCATTTTGGGGGATCCAAATATATCTGTTATTTCTAGTAATTTTATTTTTCATGAGGAATAGGCTTTTTCACAGGAAGTTTGCTCAAAAAAGAACTTGGGAACAGCTCTTTGAATAACAGCAGAAATATAAAATCTTATTTCTTAAAGCCATGTTACAAAATCTGGGAAAACAAGTCATTTCTTTAAATGAAAAGTTTATAAAACTGGGCCTTAATGGTGAACTCCTTCCAAAGGATGCAGATTCATTACAAAGACCCATATTTGTCATATTTACCTGTGTTAGATTGTACTATTTTTTTCGTTTCAAATATCTTTACAGATACAATGGAGTTGGACAGAAAGAGATTAATTAGGTCCCAACAAACCTCTGCAGAAGCAGAAATGTTTTGCCATCTCTTAATGTTTTCAGAAGAGTCCCAAAAGAACTGAAAGGCTGCTGCTAGCCCAGATTTCAAAACGTACATAAAAAAGAAGTGAGGCTCATGGAGAACCAGAAGAATAAAAAAAAGTATTTGAAATGGAAAGCTGTAAAATGGCATTTCAACTAAACTGATAAAGTAACTGCAACTATCAAGAATGATGGGCATGCTGTGCTGAAGATGCTGCATTGCTGGCATCAGACTCTACTGTTCACGTGAATTTAGAAAGCACGTTTCATACTGCACATAATGAATGACCCTTCTGTATATGAAGCTTTGTGAGGATCTGCTAGAAGCTGACTGAAGAGCCTGGGGGACTTGTAAATTTATTAAACATTTCTGCTGATATGGGCAGATCAGGCAGGAGTATGTTCAAGGATCCTCCCTAAGTTCCAGAGCTGACCCAACAGAGCCCTCTACTTGAGATTTAGCTGAACAGGCAAAACTGTGCTTAGCCTCAGTTCAGTTGCTTCTGTTATGGAAAGTTATTGTAGAAAACATCTGCTAGCGCGTCGGCATCCTCATAGAAGTATCTTCCCATTACAAGATGTCATAGGATTTCCTATGCCATCAGGCAGGTCCAACCTAGGATTCAGTCTTCACTCAGTGCTGGTGAATATTATATTAGCCTGATTGTTTGTAATCATGTTCTATCAATGCAAAATTGGAATGAGATAATGAAGACTCAGGTCCTGTATTTTACTGAAATGTTAGTTGAAAGCATCTTAAGACAATGCTTCATTGGAATCATAAAAATAATAAAATATGAGTTTTCCTTCTACAACATTGCAACCACCAGCAAAAGCTTTTGTTTCCACTCTTTTCTCCCATCTTTTCCACCCAGAGGCATTCTGGTGACCCAATGTTTTTGCTCTGTCAGTACTTCAATAGCGTGCACATTATTTCATTTTAAACACTGCCCCAAAAATGCAGTTAAGCATGCAAAAGGAATTTTAAATAGTGCCTAAAAATGCAGTTAAGCATGTTATTCTGAAAGATCTTACTGAATAAAAGAAGTTATTTGCATAATAAGGTATTCTTACAATTAATAAAGATAAAAGTCAAACTGAGTGCGAATCCTTGCAATTTTATACAAAGTATTTGATGTTTCTGGTTGTGTACTGAAACCCATGAAACGCTGAAAAACATGGAGCACTCACTTGCCTGCAAAGAAACCTCCCATCTATTTGTGTCCTTTGTTAACTTCCAGCATATGGTGTTTAAAAGAGATCACTAAGAACAATGGGCTAAGTAGTGGAGTTTTCCTTCAATAAGAAATCCACATCTTAAGCATAGCCATGAGGGAAACAGATCTACACTGTTTAAAATCCAACTAGCTTCTTAAAAAGTTTTAACCATAAAATGCTTTAAGTTAAGAAAAAAAAAAAGTCAGCTGGAAGATGTTAACTTGGTTTCTAATTGAAACAATGGTGTGTTTTATTTCATGTTGGGATTTCAACAGATTCTTAGACTTTTTACCATGCAGTTTTCACTTAAAAATATCTTGATGACATTTTGGTCATCAAGAAGATCCTGGGAGACTTGACACCTGTTACTCCTTGGAAGAACATTCATCCAAAAAGGCAGGCAAGCAAATAATACTCCCTAATTCACAGAATAAATATTAAGTCAAAATATCCAGAGTATTTAAAAGAATAATGAAGGGGAAAAAAAGTCTGGAAAATACTTTGCACGGTCCAGACTTAGTGATGATAAGCAGATAGCAATGCTCAAAACAAAAGCCAAAAACACATGGACTGCCTGTTATGTTGTGGAATACTAATAGGATATTTACAATGTGAATATATAGCTGGTAAAGTCACTACTATGTCATTTCCTAGGGACATGAAAAAATTTTGCTTACCTATTTTATAAAAAGCAGCTTAGTTATTGAAAACGGCATTTGCACCACAATTTTCTATTTAGTAAGAAATCAGTATACAAAACCAGATGTTATTATGCAGATTGAAACACAAAGTCAGAATACACCAATACTTTTTTTGAAAAACTGAATAAAGAATTCTCATAAACAGCATTGATGTGCTTCATCTTGATATAACTACTTAAAGTGTCATAAAATTAGTAAATAGTATTAAAACCTGGAGTGAATTAAAGAAAGAATTCATGTTATACTGAAGATATCACCTTTAGATTTAACTTTGGATACTAGAATAGAATAGAATAGAACAGAACAGAACAGAACAATTCAGTTGGATGGGATCTACAACGATCATCTAGTCCAACTGCCTGATCACTTCTTGGCTGAACAAGTTAAAGCACGTTATTAAGAGCATTGTCCAAATGCTTCTTAAATGGCATCGACCACCTCTCTAGGAAGCCTGTTACAGTGTTTGACCACCTTCTTGGTAAAGAAACATTTCCTAATATCAAGTCTGAACCTCCCCTGATGCAGCTTTGAACCATTCCCATGTATCCTGTCCCTGGATAGCGGGGAGAAGAGATCAGCACCTCCTTCACTTCTCCTTCTCATGCTGATCAAAATAAACTGACTTTAACTCTTGGGCTTTATTGACATGGACAGCATTAATTTTCAATGCTGATTAAAAAAAAAAAAAAAAGGATAAAGGTATGAAATAATAACATCATCAACAGAACTTAAGATGCATGGCTAAATTACATAGAGAAAGTGGAATCTCATTCACTATTCTGCAGTAACTTATTTTCCTTTTGGGAGAAAGGAAAGCCCCCAAATTTTCTGTCTCTTATTAAGAGACAAATATTGTTCACTGTGTTATGTATACACAGAAACAAAGCCATCAACTGCAAGCTGGTCTGATTTAGCTCCACCTTTTATGTGAAGAAGGTCCATGAAGGCACATTTGGGGATTCTTTTGTAGACCTAAGTGAGGGGGGCTTCAAGTGTTACTGCCCCAGCAGTTTTCTGACACATTTTAGCTGAAGTTTACTGTCCTCAGAGTGGGATTCTCATATGAACACTTGTAGGCTGTTTCAGTACAGAGTTGGTGGAGTCAGCTTAAAGCATCTTAAACTAAATTTGGATGACTTTACATTTATTTGAACAACTTACATAGACACTTTTAGCTTCACAGCTGTGTCAACAGAAACTGCAAGAAATAACTTTTCAACTTCTATAACTACATGCAAAAGAAATGACCTTCAGTCCCTCTTGGAAGGAGGAAAATTAAAACGGTTGTTAGGCAGATTGTCGCAACATGGGAAGAAACTCATTCTCAGGACAAATCAACCTCTGTTAATGGGAATTCAAATTAGAGTCATCAGAAAAAAAAAAAAAAAAACAACACCTAAAAATGAGAAGCGCTTAGATGTCTCTGTTCTTGTTTTGGTCACCTTGAAAAGAAAGCAAGCCAATACCAAACCCCCAAACCTATGAGACTTTTGCATTGTGTTTCTCACCACGCATAAAATCAGATACCTTTTGAGCCAAATCTCTGGCAAAGTTCACAGAGTCCTTGATCTTTATGGCATGGAATACTGTAGAAACATCGTGGCAAAAACTGTCATAGAAAATACAACCACAAGCAGATTCAGCCCTGGGAGAGAGATCATTGTCCCTGTTGTATCCTATTATATCTGAAATTTTTTGCTCTTACCTAGAGCCGCCCTCTGAATGTGCCTCTGGGTTATTTCTCCTTTCAGATGGTCTGCAAAAGATACAAAATGTGAATAGCTAGAATTCAAAATGTCAAAAAACAATGAAGTCATATCTTACTTCCCACCATTGAAAAACCCTGTGCTGCTTGCCAATTTAAGGGGATTTTTTGTGATCCACAGGACAAGCAGTTTTCTAAGCTCTCTCCTTCTTGCTACTGCAAGTAAACAAGTAGGAATATTTGGGTCTACATATCCTCAGATTTAACAGAAAATGAAGCTATTCACTGTCAAGAACTTTCACAGGATAATGATCTCCTGCTGCTAGATACAAAAGAAGTCCAAGTGAGGTTAGAAGACATACAGAATTCTAAGTATTTATTCAACCAGACTCATAGGCGCTAGCAGTGGAAATGAGATACTAGCTCATCCAGTCCACCTCTCTGCCAGCAAAGAACTGGTTCCCTACCATCCATTTGTTCCTGTTCATCCAGCTTAACTTTAAATATTCCATGTGCTAGAGCTTCTGCAAGTTCTACTACTCAACAGAACTTGCTGTGTAGATGCTGTTGGTCTTTGATCAAAATTTTTCTTTAATTTCACTATCTCATTATTCCTAGTTAGGCTCTCATGCTCCATACAATTCACCTTTACCCTTCTTTTATTAATTTCCTCCTTGATCTATGACACTGTTCCAGTTCACCAATTATTTCAAACAATAATTAGATTACCACATGGGAAGCCATTATTCATAGATATTAATGGAACCAATAAAGGAAAAACATAACCCTAAATGTGCAATTTCAGCAGTATATGTGTTCTGAGGGAGGATGGGATTATGTCTTTCAAGTTTTCAAATCAAAACAATTTCTAAGCAGAGACGTGTTCATAATCTTTACTAAGACATACATCTGGATACCAGGGAAAGAAAAAAAATCCATGATAGATTTACTTTTTTTCCCCCAGACCTGTGATTATGTATATTATATCAGCATGCATTCTGAATTAAAAAAATCCTTTTGCTTACAAGCAAAGCCTTATAGACTAAACTAATCAGAGAAAATTAAGTCATTAAAAGCTGCCAAATGCTTAACAATGTATGTGAACAATCATTTAAATTCACAAATCATGAGAACTAGACTGTTCTATAAGCACCAAAGAGCCATGAAAAATTAAACTTCTTTGGGAATTATGGTAATAATTTAAAAGTATTTAGCAGCCAAAACCAGCCCAAACCCAGCCCAAACCATGGTACATTGTAGAACAGGTATTATATGCAATACATTGCAGTAAAACAGCCAAGTTATGTTGCTTTCAATGTTTTTAGAAAGCAAACCAAACAAAACCAAAGAACCCTACCTACTCCTCATCTATAAATTGGATTATTGCAGATATTGCAGATCGATATTTTTCTGCAGAGGAAGTTTTATTCTTTTCAATTATTTCTATTTAAAACAATGAATTCTTCTGTGCTTAAAGTTATCTATAAAATTAAGAAAAGCCTTTACCTACTAAGAAGCAGGCTAACTGAAAGAACTAACCTCATCTACCTCAGCTATACCAAATAAATCTTCCATCTCAGCTGTACTAACACAACCAAAAAATGCCAATCAGATAAGTAAGCTCCCTATTTTTGTAACTACAGACAAAAATTAATAATTTTTACCAGTAAAGGCCCAGTTAAATAATAAACATTCATGCTGTTTGTCCTTTGAAAGCTTTATATAGCAACTCAGTTGATGTCAATACTCAGTGAAATGTGATTAAATGTACCATTTTTTCCCTTAAATTGCTTTTTGCTATTCTGGATATTTATATCCTTTATTCTATTGTACTGTATCACACAGGGTGTTGTTACTCACTCAATATTGAGCCATGAGAAAGTTATGAAACAATTTGTAGTAAACTTGAGGATCATCTCAATGGATTACCATTTGTTCAGGTGCCACAGAATGCAATCTAGTCAGGTATCTTCATGTGAGGACTCGGAAACTCACTTTCTTAAGCACTGCAGAAGGCAATGCCACTGTCATTTGAAAAAATGGTTCTAGTAGTGAGAACATGCTATTCATCAAGAATCAACTGAAAATAAAGGTGACATACAAGTTCTCTGTCCTGTCAATACATGTTTTTAGTAGCGTCTCTTGGGTTTGCAAGGAAATGGTTTTAACAGTGGGGACTATAGGAGTGGCTTCCATGAAAAACTGCTAGAAGCTTCCCCTATAACCGATAGAGCCGATGTCAGACAGTTCCAAGACAGACCTGCTAGTGGCCAAGGCCGAGCCCAACAGCAATGGTGGTAGCATCTCTGGAATAACATATTTAAGAAGGTGAAGGGAGAGTAGTGAGAATATGTGACAGAAACAAGTCTGCAGGCACCAAAGTCAGTGAAGAAGTGAAAATGTTTTGCATAAACTTCTATCAAATAAGGCAATGAGGGCAACAGAAAAACAGCAAGCCAAACAAGTCAATGAAAATAAGATTGAAGAGATAGATAACAGTTTGCAGTCAATACAAATATGTGGAAACAGAAGAAAATGGGAACTAGTTTTTACATGATTACAGCCAAGAGACTTGACTTCCAATTACCTAGAATTTGCTCTCAGTACAGCTGAGACAGAAAGCATGGAGGCTTCAGAAGCTCTACTTTTATTGCAAGCTTTGTTAGGCAAGTCAGCGTGTGGAACTGTCCCAAATGCTCCTCCCTCCCTTCATTCTAGCCTTCCCACACTTCTGCTCCATCCATGACATGGACCGTGATGGTGTAAGAAATCTCATCCTTCTTCTATTTGGCAGATTTATGAAAGAATTAAAAGTTGGAACCAGACCACCTGTAATCAGAGGGGAACCATAGAAAACTTCTCCTTCTGCTAGAAAAATAAAAATGCAGTCTAACTATTCTTATAGAAAAAGACTTCTTTTTTTCTTCTATGCATAGAAATAGAAAGGTGACATTTACCCAATTCATATAGTCCAAACTATCTTTTCAGGGCAGCAAAAACTGAACTTCATTTTGCAGAAAACTTCCTGAGGAGAAACTGTAATTGTATTACGGGAAAAGTAGCCCAAACAGGAATTCTGGTTCAAAGGACATGATGGTACCATAAGGCACCTGACTATAATTCCATACCAAGACTTAGCCAGATATGATTTAATCTTCCAATTTGTTTTAATCCAATTTGAAATTTGACAGTTTATTTAGATTTCATTTGGAAAAAAAACCTGTTTTTCATGTACAAACTTTTAATTTTGACAAAACCTTAACATTTTCTGTACATGTTTTTGATTAAACTGATCTCGTTCTGTTTTCACTACAAATACTTGTGGGGGAGAATGAATGTTTCTGACCTGCTCTACTTTTCTGCCTCTGAGAGCGCCATCACCCCAATGCAAGGCTTGAAGTTCATAAGTGACAGAAGTAGGGGGTGATTCCAGTACTGTTGCCTGCACAAACCTTCCCATATAAACAAATGGAAGATTTCAGTCTTTAGTACTGCCAGTTCTACAACCTTCATAAACACAAATATTTACTCAAAGAAATATGAAGAATCACATTGCCATAAAAAATCCCCATGTCTTCTGATTCCAGCAGTGTAAAGTTGTAGACAAGGTAGTGCTTAAATGTGGTTTGCAAAAATTGAATTTAAGACCTGGCAAACATCTCTCAACATATGGCTAATTATGTTTTCTGAAGTTCCACCAAACAAGAAGCTAAAAATAGGTCTGCAGCTGATACCAAATATTTTTTTTTCCAGTGGAGTCATTCTTCATTTGGAGATAACAGTCCCAATAAAATGTTGAACGCTGCAACTCCACATGTTTTGGCAAACAAAGTAGTTTTGGGGAATTTAGGAATTCACTCAGCATGCAGCCAGCTGTCATTAAGGCTGTGATAAATCTGTTGCTTTTGGCCTGTGTTTCTGGACACATGTACCATCCTGAGGTATGGAAAAGAGATGAACTGGTAACACAGAACTTAAGCTTTGTGACAGGAGACAAAAGCAAGGAGAGAAACAGAGAAGACAAAATGGAATGGAGAAGTCCAGTTAAGACTGATGTAAACCAGAGGACAGTAACCTATATGCTGACTAAATATGACAGAATCTATAACTTGAATAGTACAGCTGTCCTCTAACTTCTTGTCTTTGTGTTCTTCCAGACTGTTTCAAGGAGCTGAAATTATTTTGCAATTTATTACAGACAATGAACGCTTTGACACTACTGCATATGCTTCAGGGCAATACAAAAATGAGTATGTTACAATTAAAGAAATACTGTTTTTAAAAAGTGGTTTGGTTTTGTCTGAGTCCACACTACAGGTTTTAACGCTTCTCTTATGTTTTATCAGACCTTCCTTATAATACTATTATAAGGTTTCAAAGACTGCTAACTTGAAGCATAAAAATATTGGACAACGTATGAATACACATGCAACCTTAACTCCCTCCCTTTGAGAGTATTTGTTGTTATTGATGTGGATGGAGGGTCTCTTCTAACTTAATAATTGATAAGTTGGAGCCTTTGTCAATAACCTCTTATCTCTTGTTATTTTTTATACTTTGCTATTATTTCACATTTTCCAAGCCTGTGTTTAGCTTAAGAAGTCATTTCATCCAGGAGATCCTGAAACCTTCACACCTCAACTAGGATACTGTATCTCTTTCTTTCTCCATCTTTAAATGGAGTTTTGGTGTTGGTTCTTTTTGGTGTTACATAAAATATCTAGCAGAACATCCTCTTATGCATCCAGGGAACCTTTGATTCCTGGAACTCACCCTCTAGGGCATTTTGAGTCCCTAATAATATCATATGGTTTAAGTGTTAGATCTATCTTTTTTTTTTTTTTTTGCTTCTCACACCACCTCTCCAGCGATCAGGCTGAGAATGCACAAGAAGTTGGGAGGAAGCACAGCGAGGACAGCTGACCCCAACTGACCAAAGGGATATTCCATACCATATAACATCATGCTTAGCAAAAAAAAGCTGGGGGGAAGAAAAAGGAAAGAAGGATGTTAAGAGTGATGGTATTTGTCTTCCCAAGTTACTGATGGAG